GGAATTCCCCAAATTGTGGGAAGTTTCAACTTGATTGGGGATTTTGTGGGGATTGGCGCTTTGTGAGGAAAATGTGGTGATTCTAACATTTTATCATTTTGTTTACTCTATCAATTGCTGATGCATCGCTAGTTTGATCGTTATTGTTAGAAACAATGTGATAGACTATAACGATGTGTTATTCACCATCGCATATCCCTCGTATTATTAACAAGCAGCTTAAATAGAAATATTATTAGAGCACTTGGTTCTGAATTGTAAAATTACCAGTCGGTGCGTGTTGAGTTCGCGATTCTTTCTCCCGCTTAGGACGGTCTCCGGTATAAAGCAAAACGAAATCAGCTATTAATAAACAAAGCCGAGCAGTTGGTACTTCCACACCACAACTTACCGCTCGTCAACTTTAAATATTACATATAGGTCGAAAGTCATTGATTGTTTCTAACGTTAACATAGTGTCACCAAATGCACAACAAATAATCCATTTACTTAATTTTGTAACGCAAAGAAAAATGATTTTTTGTTCAGACTGATTACAGATTAATGTTGAATCTAATTAATATTATAATTAACATAAGTGCCTCCGTGGCGAGCGGTTATCAAGCCGGACTGCTATGCAGAGGTCCCAGGTTCAATTCCCGGGTCGGGAGAAATATTTGTATGGCCTACATTTTTTTCTCTCGTGAGTTTGGATGTAATTTGCGGTTGTCTACGTGTGTGCCCATAGCACCCGCGACACAGGGTTTCCCTAGTGCGGGACTATGTTGAGTGTGTACGTTATTATTATTATTAATATTAAAATAAATAAACGATTTAAGGTCATCTAATTTTATAATTAGTTCTACTTTTTACATTCTGTTTACATTCACAGCAAACGTAATAGATTATTACATTTTGAGTTTCTTAATTCTTTATTATATTTTTAAGCGATGTATTTCTAATAAATAATGAAAATTCGAGATGTGGGGAATTTGTGGGGAATATGAACTTTGCTCTCCCCAAATTTGGGGATTTTAACAGTGATTTTTGGGGATTTTGAACAATTGGCATGGGCAACGCTGATTGTATCGAATGATGTGACTTAATATCCAAGGTTCACCCCCTCCACCAGGTCTTTTAATATTTTTTACTTTATCCATCTTGCATGAACTCTTACAACGTCCAATAGAGTAAAAACCCTAATTGTAATATTTTTTAAAATGAAATCTACTGAACACGCGCTATAACGTGTTTGTCAATAAGTACAAACACTACAGAATGTCTATAAATTAAATATATCTAGAATAAACTTAAGAACACTAGTTTTTAGAGTATTAATAGACTTTACTGGATGTGTATAGAACAATTTTACTAAAAATAATCAGTTGTTCTATAGATGAACTTAAAATAAGGACTATAAGAGTAAATCTTAAGAGAGATTACACTTAATTAAGTTGTTTGGTATAAGAAGGTGTTAAAATTTTGACTTGAGTGAAATAAGTCTATAAGAACAATTTCTTTTTAGTAAAACCATTTATAGAGAACTATTATCTAAATCTATACCATATTAAGACTGTTTATATATATATCAGTTTTAAGGCTTATAAAGTGTGCTCCTTGGGAACGCGCAAAGGAACATAAACTTTATCTACTACAAGATAAGATTACGTTCTTTATCCATTAAATTAAAAGGAAATGTAACAATCGACGTCGCGCGTTCTTTGCAAAATGCAGTTTATTGTAGAACATATTTTGTACTAAATAAAGAATAAATTTATACGAATGCTAAATAACAAAACAGTAAGTCAGTAGCAGTAGAGTACCTTTTGAAGAGAGAGTTCGTCCAGGGAAGACTGCCACCTTACCTATTTGTGCCGTCAAACCGTTATGTGAGCATTACTGCTTTCCGGTTTTAAAGGGTGCTGGTGAAATTACAGGCACATGGCACTTGTCAACCTATGTCTGAATAGGGAGTCTCTTTGTATAACTAGGTACCTATCTATTGTCTATTTCATGTTTATGCGTTTAATAAAAAACAAAGAATGTTTAAACGTTTTTTATCAATCAAATGATTTTTTAAAAAGAAGAAAGTATTTTTTATGAACATTTATCTAAGCAAATTTTACACATATATACAATACTATATATTCCGACAAAAACTGTAAAAACAGATTGCCAAAGTTGTACATCACGTAAAAATACGAGACTAAACATGGCCGATGCAGATATAACCATTTTTGTGCAAATGTAATTTTAAGGTTAATTTTAAATTGAATTGAATAGATATTTACGATACTTGTAATTTTTTATAACGCCTACAAATGTAATCTTGTCGGTACGCATTATAGTGAAAGGATTTTATCTTATTAGTATTTCTCATTTACGTTTTAAAGATTACTTAATTTTGGACCATTACTTTAATTACTTAAATTTAAAGCTATTTCATTTTACCGGCATCGACTGCTGTTTCCTTATCGATTTATTAGTCTGTCTTGATTAGATTGTATAAATTTTGTCTGGCACCGACTGCCATTGGATGTGAGTACACATTAAATAACTGCCTTCAAAATCAACGAAGTAGTTATAATATAACCTAATATTGAAATAAAATTTTAAACGAAATATTTTCTCATTTGTAATAAAAATTATTAAAACCGAAATTGTTAATTATACGTATATTTTATTATCTCAAAAACATTTATTTCATGCATAAACCAATAGTCTTGTTTTTTTTCCGTAGTGGCATACAAAGTGTATTGTGCGGTTGGTGAAATTGAACAGGTACATGGAACTTGCTGTCAACTTATGTCCCAAGGTGATAGGCGCAGTGGCAGTGTCCCTGAGATCTTAGTGATTTAAAGTACTGAGTGGCACTGCAACTGTATGTACGGACAACGGCACATCAGACTACACATTTTTGTCCGAAAATCACCTCCATTGCAACGGAACAAGATACGTCAATGTGTAGCTTCATGTGTTGGCGTGTGTACAAGCGTGTCGCTCACCCTTACTTAGATCATAAAAAAAAAGGAAAGTCGAGTGGCGCCGCTAGGCTCAACTTTTAATCGGTAGCTTATGTCGACGTTTTTTATTAAAAAATATATCATATTACTACGTCTTAAGTTCGCGCTACGCAGCCGGAAGTCGGTCAGTCAATAGTCGCTACCTTTCAAAGAAGCTAAGATACTCACTACATGGCCCATGGCAGCAAGCTGCCCACGACAGGCTGCGATGCGCAGCTAAATTCTTTTTGCATTTAAGGAAATGTATATTTCTCTGCAGAGTGTGTCGCTTGTTGAATCTTTTTTTTCATTTTATGTTTAAAGAAATGTAACCTAATCTTGTAGAAGATTTATATTGCATTGCTCGTTTTAATGCGTGCATTGCGTTGCGCCAGTTTGAGACAAACCTTAACTTGAAAAAGTAAAAGTTCTTTGCCTAAAAATTTTTAAATTATAAACATATACAACAGGGAGAAACTGTGATTGATGTCTGATGGAACAATTTATCTCCTAGTTTCAACAAAACACTGTTACTGAAAGCTCGAAAAATACATTACTTGAATATTAATTACAAACTCACGCTATCAAGAGCAAATTGTGAGAACGAACTGACAACCAATTTGTTATAAAATGTTCTACTGCAAAATATTTTTTAACTTACCGTAGCAAACGAATGTGCAAATATGTAATTCATTTCTTTTTTAAATTTCTTTGCATTGGCATTCTAGTTTTATGGCAGAAATCATTAAGGATTTTTAATGGTTGTAAGTTTAAGTATTATTTAAAACATATGAAATACCGAAATTTACGAGTGTTTTTAATCATTTCATCTCATACAGGATATATCACGGAGAGTATACGATGGAATTTAATGATTTAATTCCATCTTCCCCTTTCCATCATCCGCGGACCGGACGTAAGCTGGGGTTCCACCCCTTATGTTATGGGTATTCCAAGGATTCGCACGAAGTGTAACGCTTTCATAAATGTGTCGTTCATCATAAAAGTGGATTATCTCCTTATAATGAAATTTTGAAATAACGATCTTCTTGCAAATTAACGAGTAAGTAGGAAAAAATACAAATGTTCATTCAGTGTTTTTAATTTTTCATTGTTTAATACAAATCGAAGATATAATAATTTGTTTATAATGAAAGATATGATGAAATATGATACCATTTCGGTGAAAATATGTTTTCTTTTAAATATAGACTTACCATTTTTACAATGAAAGACTCAAATGTGAAACGGCTATGAAGTGGAATTCCCTGTCTGCAGACTTTTTCCTTGAACGCTACAACTTCTTCTTTGTCAAGCAGAGAGTGAACAAGTATTATTGTATTATTTACGTGTGAATACTCCATCGTTGATGTCGTCACTTTCCAACAGGTGACATGGAGGTCAAATACGCACTTGTTTCTTTCATAAAAAATCTCATGGAAAGAGGTTACATCGTCTTTATCGGGATAGAGATATTGCGTATAAATCTACACATATCTTCTTGTCCTCCTAATGACAGTAAGTATTTCTTGACTGTAAGAGTAGGTACTCATATTTAAAAAAAAAATTTGGTATAATATAACTAAAATTTCCGAAAAACATTCCCAAATAAATCTCCAATTTTTTATCAACATTTTGTATGGGAAAATATATAAGTTCTACACCATTTATAAATCTACGCTACGCAAATTAGCCAGCCGCGTTTGCGAATGTACGAGTAATTAGTTAGAAGCATGTTGTTCAATAAGCCTAACACAATGCTCTGTACACATATCTAACTAGAACAAAGGTAACGCCGGCCTTTCGTGCCGAAATAAACGCAAACTAATTGTGTAGGCTGTTTTTTTATTATGTACTATCTTTAACTTGGAACTTTTGCAATTATCGTTACAGGTGGTGGTAGAATTTCAATGAAATTGTTGTAAAAAAGAAAACTACGAGTTGTTTTTTATTGCACGTACGTTATCGTTTGAACACGTGTTTGTTAAACCACTGTAATTACTTGATACCATTACTAACCTTTGAATGTATGTACTTTTGAATTGGACATGACATGCCACAACTGAGGATCACCAGCAGATGGAGCAAGCACTAAATGTTGGCCTGAAGGTGCCAGTTGCAGCAACCTTGCTCCTGCGCCTGGGCTTGATCCTCCTACGGAAACCACGCGGACCGTCGATGCTATTGGTGGTTGAAGCCTGAAAATAACACAATTTTTATTCAAATGTCGAGTATCCCTTACCATTTGCTTGAATGACATATTACACACAGGAAAATATCATGAGAAAACCTCAAGTTCGGACCGATTTATAAAAAAATCTCTTTGAAAACATGTTAAGTTCCCAACCAATACTTATTTAGCTAAAGTGGCAGACTTTGGTCTAAGCCTTTTTCTCAGAGAATCTTTTCCGAAAAAGCTATCAGGCATCAAGTGTTCCCTTATGTATACTTTGTGAAATATTCTCTTCAAGTTTAACATTCCGGTAAGCCCTAAAGTATTATTTATATGAATATAAATATGGGCCATTGAGTCAATGTGTCAATAGGTCACATTAACCTCGAGAAGACGCAGCTCTTCTCAATTCCACTTTATTTAGATAATTTTAAAGTTGATAAAAACCAAAAACAAAGACCTGCAACAAGCACGTAGAAAAATTCGTAAGGTCCCCTGGTTCGTTCCGTACGTTTGCTCAGCTGGGATAGATAGATCAGATACGGTATTCTGAAGGCTCTGGTTCGAATTCAGCCAGATCAAAGGAATATTTCTTAGTGTTCGATCTTTGTAATTAGTAATAATAATAATAATACAATAATAATTCATATATTTGTGAAAATAGGTTACATAGAAGCTGACATGTACAAAATAAGTAGGTTTTGTTTCACTGTGTCCGGCAAACATTAGGTATACAAATATTGAAAGTATATTATACATTAACTCACATGCACTTCAACAGACTAAACCAGATGCAACATGTTTCTTTTTCAATAATAATACATGGGCGTGCATACTTGGGTTTAATAAGTCGGTCATAATATAATTGAATCCAATTTCACAATAAAATAATTGAATATCATAGTAGTAAAACATCCTAATAATCAATAAATTTAAAATTACATATTATATTATTTTTAATATACGTGTTGGCGTGCACTAAAGGAGCTTCTCCGCATGACGTGCCAACCCTTTGCCGCTGTACGTCTGGCGCACCCTGGTCCAGTGTTTCCTAAACATTGTTCTGCCATGGCCCGGTAATTTTTATACTTCTACTTTGTGACCCGCTCAACACTTTTAAACCCAAGCTGGTTACATTAAGTAAAATAACACACATTTATTGTTAGTAAAAATGTTTTACTAATATTATTTCGATATAGCCTATTTAGTGCGAAATATGGAGCTGCTGCTTATTTTTTACTAAAGAATCCAAGTTCGCGGAAAATGACGAAAGTTTTATATCCTGATGTCTGGTTCCACTTCAACACGGCGGGAATGTTGTGACCCGGTATTTTATTTTGATGGCCCGGTATCGGGTCGCGACCCACCAAATAGGAAACGCTGCCTTAGGCTACAATCGGCGAGTACATTACGCCGCGCCAATTGGTAAATCCTTTCACCACGATGGCAAGCATTATAGAGTATGCCATCGATACGACAAGAACATATTTACATACGACGACCTCCTTGATCTAGTTGCTTGCATACCGGTTTTCATCGTGTAGTTATCTCTGAGGTACCGGTTCGAACCCCAGCCGGGTCAATGTTGAAAGTAATTTTCTATGTTGTCTCGGATTTGGGTGTTTACAGTACCGTCGTTGTTTTCGTCTTTCGACACATAAGTGCTTTAGTTAAGAGTTAGTCCAAGGAAGTACTGCTACCTTACATATTTCTGCCGCCAAGCAATAATGTGAGCATTATTGTGTTTCGGTTTTGAAGGGTAAGGGTGCTGGTGAAATTACAGGCACATGGGACTTGTCAACTTATGTCTCAGGGTGACGGGCGCCGTGGTAGTGCCTCTCAGATCTTTGCAATTTAAAGCTCTGAGTAGCACTGTAACTGTTACGGATAGGCGTGTAGGTTACCATCACGCGCGCGACTTGTTCGTCCCGTCACTTGATGTTATAAAAAATAATACTTACTTTAGGAAACAAGGCACGTGAGGTTGTCTAATATTTCAAATTTAATTTGTTGTAGTTTTTATTGAGATTTTTTTGTAAAATAACTCAGTGGAGTCAAAACTAGCGAGTTTTGTTATGATTATGACTACAAAAATCGAACACAGAAAGAATATGCAGATGGTTAGAGCAGTGCAGCATTAACGAGGGTTCAAGTCGGGTCGACGAAATCTTTCTATGTTTTCGATTTTAGCATTCATAATCATTATTCTAAAGGTGCCAATAAGTTTTAATCTACGAATATTGTACTAGTGTTAGCAATAAACTCGAAAGCACTATGGTGCAACACAACACCAATAGCATATGTAATTTAGAATCCCATTCTATTCATAATTATATTGAACCGTCCAACCAATAGTTTTAAAATCGTGTTAATCAATAAATCATGAATGTTTTTAAGGTTTAATTTAGTCCAATTTTAAGCATCAACAAAATAATTGATATTGATTTGACGGGCTCGTTTCGACAAATTACAATTTTCAGTTTCAAACAATTATCAAATAATAGTCGAACTCGATAAAGCATTTTATTTGTAACCTCTATTAAGACTAAAGCCACCAGTGCCTACACAATGTATGCCATATAAAGTCTCACAAAAAATAAGGATATGAATAATCGTGTTGTGAAGGTAATAAAACAATTATTTTCTAATATTTATGCTGAGATATTATTTAACTCGCCTTGTTACACACGGCGACTGTTACAGCATAGACCCTAAAAGTCACCTTTTAGGGTCGTATTCTAGAACTCTACTCAATGCTCAAGTCAGGATTGCACTGGAAACACAAGCACTAGAAATACGACCCTAACAGCAGGGACTTGAATATGATTTCGAGTGCTTTAAACCATACTCAAATCCTGACTTGAGCATTGAGTAGAGTTCTAGAATATGACCCTTAGTTAGTGAGGTGCGGTGCGGCATGCGGGGCGGGGGCGGCAAACGGTGCGTACTCCCAATAGCGTTAGCGGCGGCAATTGCAGTGGACGTATTTTGACATGGCGTTGTCTAAAGTGGCGCTCCTTTGTATCGAAAGAAATTCATACTTGAAACATCATATTTAAATACGAGGGAAGCAGTGCACGAAATGAATAAAGAGCGGTATAAATATGGCGGATTTCATAACTTGTACGAAGAATACTGAAGATATATATATAAGATAGCATTAATTTCTTCACACAATCTTTTAATAACGGTTTTGTTTAAATTTATGCTGATGATATCTTGACATCTGTAGCTGATTTAAAATTTCAGAAATAAACGCTCCTCGTGTTCATTTTCCGCTCCAAAGTCGTCTAAAATATTTTATTCCACAATATCGGTGAGTGTGTCACTCCACCGCGATGCATCGGCGCTGTCTAGACCGCTCTGGCCTCTGGGTCGTGTCATTTCCCTCGTTCGCCCTTACATTTGTTTCAGCCGGGCCATTCCCCGCGCGCCACTGCACTGTTAAAAACCGCTCGGCGAAAATCGCGCGCGATGCCTCGTGGCGTGCTTCACACGTTTTAATACATTTGTTCTTGCCGCTCGCCACACTGCTCTAAGCTACCGCTCAAAGTGGCACAGTCGTGGGCAACTACTTAGCAGCGCGTCTGCAGCGATTCATTCGCGATGTAATCACTAATCGTCTACTTGTAAAAGTTTAAAAGACTTAAGCAGCGACACAATCGCGATGCATACCCGATGAGATCGCAATGCAAACAGACAAAAAAGAATATGTTCTTAATTCCAGTGTAAGTTCTTTTTTGTATGCATGTTACGGGATAACTCCGGCTAAATTTGTGAACCGATTTTGATGATTACTTTTTGTTAGAAAGAGACTGCGTGGTCCCATTTACATTTGTTTTTTTTATAAATGATTTAACATTGTGTTGAATCATTTATATTTGAGGAACGCATTTATCATTATGATGGAATCATGCGTTTCTCAAATATAATTGCAAAAGCGCGTTTGTAACACTGCCAAAAATCGCCGTGTGTAATCGCTCTTAGCCTGTAACAACGATCAGACTAGAAATGTAAAATAATAAAATGAAAGTCCAAGTTAAATTAAGGAGTTAAAGATTGATTGGTGCGATTAGTCAGCTAATTAACACAAATACCAACCGACCGATACGGATCGGATTCATTCTGATTCTACGTGAGCTATTTATTCACCTTTGTTACGTTTGTTTTATTTCACCCCAAGAGATTGCTTTTCTTATTGTATTTCCCCTCAAAATGGATGCTGGACTCGCTGATTTCAAATCTTTTCCTTTTTATACGAAAAAAGGAAGATATAGAGGGCTAAATAAATACATGTTACGGTTGAGCCTTACAAAGAAGAAAAATAAACACTGGTTACGTCTTTTTTTTGTCGTGAAATAAATGTGCATTAGGATTGTTTTATGTTTTCATAAAGTAGTTAATTAATATCTACATTACACGGTAACATAAAACAAGGTAAGAAACGTGTTAAGTGAACTGTAATCTAAGGATTGACACACAAATTTCAGTGATGCTATTGGCAACGTAATAGCTTTCAAAAAACCTATGAAATGTACCTATATATTTAGTTTGCTGTCAATTAGTAGAAAAAAGGTGGGACCACAACAATAAGTATGTAATAACACTAAATTTTATGTATATTTTATTTTTGTTAAGCGTTTTATCGTAATGTTTAAAATTTAAGGTATATTTTGTTTTTAGTTATAGTTGACATCTTCTTCGTTCCTCGGTTACTACAGAACATCAGCGTTGGGCTGTTTTGCATGCATAGCTGACAATTAATGCTGAGTGATAACCGTTTTGAATCTTAATGGTTAGTATTAAGATTTACTTTATGTTAGTCTTAAGAAAATTAGACCAAATGAATACTATCTTCGTTCTTTCTTTCTGCTTTCAAGCTCTCGTTGGTCTTACACCATTAATAAATTAGAACATTGCTAAGCCTTCTTCGACATTGAAGTCTAAAAGTAGCTCTTAATTACCTAACTACAATCTACGTATGTATTCCCTATTATACCTTTGGGTCATTGCAATTATCCGCACCAGGTGCGGTTTCGTCCGGACCGTCCTCGAAACTAGCCGCAAAATTCAATAGAACGGAACAATAGAATTAGTATCGAACCCTCTTATTTGCAGTTCCCACGTGATTCGACTTGATTTCCTTCTTTTCAGATACGTTTGGATTTGTTTAGGTTTACTTTTGACAAGGGTAAGCCAATAAAATGGACTAATCAAAGGATTAAGGGAACAATTGAGGTTTCAAAATATTTCTACATCGAGGGCGCCTTATAGGTATATTAAACGCTTGTAGAAGCACTGCAGTGGCGCGTTTGTGGCGTAGCACCTGCGTCACTACTAATTTTCGTACAATATTATCTAGTCTGCAAAAGTTTCGTGGATACAAGCAATCGGTAACTACAATTCGCTAACAACTGCTTACACTAAAACTACAACTAGGGAAGTACATAACATTCCTTAACGCTAAGTGCAACAGGTTAATTACTGGCAAACAACGCATGCTATAATTGCAAACAAGTAATGAAGTATATTAAGATTAAATAGTTACTACGTCTAATTTTTGAACAATACAAAAGAAAAAACGAAAACGAAAAAATACTACTTATTTAACAATTTGCTGAGAACAAGCGCGCGGAATTTGCCAAGTGCCATTCAGATGAGAGTTCAGGCCAAAGTCCACGAACCTACTTCAACGTGCAGGTTTCGTCACGAAGTTGTCCTTCACCGAAAAGCTCATGATAAATTTCAAATTAAATTTCGCACATAAAGGCCGAGAAACTCAGAGGTGCGAGCCCGGATTCAAATGCACGACCCTCTGCTTGAGAGACAGCAGGTCAAGCCATTAGGCTAGCACGGCTTCTTTATTACTACTTACTAATTACTTAAGTAATCGAAGCCAAGTGTAGCAACACTATGATAGAGTATATCAAAATCACCTTCTCTATAGTAATGGGGAAGGTTATTTTTAAGTACTCTATCCAAAATTAAGACAAGATGAAAACAAATTTTACAACTATTTCAGAATGTCGATTGACACTTTTTTAAGTTAATTAATAAATTAAAAGCAAAAAAATTATAATATATGCAAAAAAAAAAAAACATATATCCCCGTAAGAATGTCAATTACTACTATTGATTCTCGGAGTTCATATCAACGCTTGAAGTTGAAGTCTTAACTGCATGCAGTTGAGTTTTGACAGCATGTAGTTATGTGTGAAGTCGTTATCAACTTCATGGAGTCGAAGTCCCGGCTGCATAAAGTTTATTTCCACTTCATGCAAAGAAATCTGTTAAACATTCAGACCTATTCCTGGATTTCCCCATGCTACACACACATAACACATTGAGAAATGTAACTTTAAAAGGACTGCAAGGATATCAAAATGACTGTAACCTTGCTTGAGGATTCTCTAAAACTCACCATCCATTGAGTGGTACGAGAAGTGGCTTATCATATCCGTCGCACCATGCCATGGCCGAAGTGACTAATGTGGCAAGAACACCCCGGCGAGCCACCGCGGGTCGCAGCCATGCTATTATCTGCAGTGAAAAAGCCCAATCAGTTGGCTGTGGAAATTGGAGACAACAATAGAGATAGTAACAATACACATAGAAGTGCGACAGGTTATTTGAAGGAATTATCATTTTTTCGTTTAGTAATAATCAAAAAGTTACTAATAGTAATAATCAAGAAATTTGGTATTCGAAAAGACCAAATCTCCATCCTTAGGTTGCATGGAGCAAAAAGGCCACCTGTTGCACATTAACTTAACCACTCTATTTTTATACATAAGTTACTGTTTTGTATTGCCATTGCAATTTATGTGCAATACAGAATATTTCATTCATTCATTCTTTTAACAATGCTCAACTATGGGACGTATTGATGAGAGAACACACAGGTACTTAAGGCGATTATCACATTGCACCGGGCCCCGCGACGGAGCTGCGTTTTTTAACGTTGTACCGAAGTACTTCAGTTTATATGGAAAACACGCGCAGTCGACCACACTGACAACTCTTCTCCGCGCGGAAGTGCGGTGTGCGCGGTATTACTGCGCCCCCGCGCGGAGGGGCGCCGCGAGCCGCAGGGTATGGCACACTGCGCTCCGCACTACCTCGCAGATTTTTAAGCTTAACAAAAGGAGGCATGTTCAATAAGAAGGGCATGGTCAGTTTTCTGCAGTAGATCTCGACGTCGATAAATTTATATTTGCTATTGAAAATCGACCAAATTTATCTTCATATTTTCTTAAATCTTTGTAATGAAGTTGCAATTATCCATTTATCGATCTGGTTCGTAAAAAGGGATGTATCCAATATCTTCGGTGTCTTTTTATTTGAGTAAATAAAAACCAAATAGACAGTTTATCTGCAGCGTCCTGAATGAGATCTGTATTATTAATCATTCTTGTCAAAGAAGGATGTCGGCTACATGTACAATTACTACGTCGATCAACTGCGAAGCGAGTACTTTAAGTGACGCGGGGCCGCTAGACCGCTCCCCCCGCACAGATTAAACCGCGCGTTGACGCAGATCTGCGTCTCCGCCACCGCGCGCGTGATTCCGCGTCCCGCACTCCGTTGCGGGGCGCGGTGCAGTGTGTTAATCGCCTAAATGTGATAGTCAAATCTAGCATTTAAATATATCGTAGTACCCGTCTCTTGTTCAAAACAACCGTACGACAGCTGATCTAGCGTTAAGATTAAAATGTCAAAAGCGTCAGAACCTAGACTCCAATTTCTTATTCGCATTTTTCACAGCTTAACTAATAAGTGGGATCTGAGCTTCCTCTTTTTATAAAATAATATTTACACTTTATTAATATATTAATAATTTATTTAGATTTCTGTGTATTTACAAGAAGAAACTAGGGCTAACAGCTATGCAAGCATTATGCATTGCTACAACTTTAAGCCAACATGAATATTTACTATCCAGTCCCTGTGGGATCATTTAACATGTGTATTAAACGTTCAAATCAATGCTCTATAGTATACGTCAAAAAGCTGAAATTATGAATGTTCAAAAAACAAACAGTAATTATAATAAAGTCGAAACTAACTATATAAATGATAAATACCTATATATGAATTACATAACGTCGCTCGACTCGGGCAAATATAAACTAAACTTAAGTTCAAAGGATCTGTCACTTTTTAAATGCGTTAGAAGACAAAATAATTTATTTTATTATCACTACGTAAGTTGTACTGTGCTGACTTTTCTGATCTTGTCTCACAAATAACCATAAAGACGTACATTAAAGTTCATTTTTGTATTCCAAATCTTTAGTCTACCTTCAAGAATGAAGCAATATAGAAATACAATTATTATCATGCCCATCGTATTAGCATATTTAGACATTAGAACAGAGCATATTGTGCACCCTGCCGCGAAGACCCAATGTCATCCCTTCAACATAATATGTTACCCTTGTATCTTTATAAATAAACAACCGGTTGCCTAAATGAAATGTATTCTTGATAACAGTAATAATCTTTTTATTGAACCGTATATCGAGATAGACGCAATTTCACTAACTCTGGGTGACATTTCAATATAATAAAAATAACCTAATAAAAAAGGCAGCAAGAAGAACTAATAAAATACTCGAGGGGAGACAAGGAACATTTATTACGAACACAAATAACATTATTCTGGCTCAAAGACGTGAAATAAACAGTTACAGGCGATGATAAAACTCATGTTCCGGGGAAACTTGAGCATTTTATTTTGCAAACCGCGCGCCGGTGACTTGGCACAAATCCACTCTTGCGGAAATGTAGATAATACACATATTGTCCGCTAAAATGGCAAAAAAGCTAATAACATTTTACATATTATAAAAATTGTTGTGTTAATATAGAGAACTATATATAGGGTTTTCAACAAGAACTTTGTTTTGTACATCAAAATAAAATAATAAATTTAGATGACAATGATTAAAATTTTCATTGTATTAAAAAAAGTAAGGTTTGGCAATTATGAATAAAAAATGATATCTGATAAATGTCCACTACGACCACAGTTACAGATGTCGATTCTTTCATCAAAGTTTTTAATCACGTTTTGACAAAATGGTGGGTCTATTTCGTTAATCACTTCATGAATTTTGAGTTTTAAGGCTGCAACCTAGATGATAAATATATTTAGGAAAACATATTTTAATCCGATTCTTATATTCTAAAAGCTTCTTGAAAACGTTTTCGGTAAAATACTTAAATTACTAGTATTAATATTATTTTACGAAATTGGGTGCTTGGGTTAATTAATCTGCTCATTTATTAGCTTTTTACATGAAATTGTTTCAGTTTCGATTTTCTAGGAAATTGAAATGTTTAACATAAATTTGTTGAATTTCTAAGAAAACTGGTACAATAAAATGAAATCCTTATTAAATATTGTTAAGTATATAATTTTAAATCGAATTACAATACTACTAAAAAAGGAGAAAAAGCCGTGGTAGTCTAATGGGTTACCGTTTTTCAAACAGAAGCCGTAGGTTCAAATCCGGTATCACACCTCTGAGTTTCTCGGAATTTATATGCGAACTTTGAAATTTATCATGACTTTTTTCCCTACCCACGTTGGGCCAGCTTGGTGGACTACGGCCTAAACCTTCGACTCAGAGGAGACCCGTGCTCAGCAGTGGAATAAATGGGTTGATGGTGATGAAAAATAGGATATCCATCATATCATATCATATTATTAAAATCCATAAGACATTTTCATTAAAATATATTACTTATGACCAGATTAAAAATGAATAACAAGAATATTTGGTGTAAAAACTCCGTGTACCTACATAACATATTTGTTTGTATCATAAAATGGAATATGTCCTGAATATGTCCTGAATGTAAATAATTTTAAATCGAATTATAATTATAATTATAATCCAAATTTTTATACACAGCTTTATGGATACCATATCTATGCCATAGAAGAACTTATATTAATTTTGATCATATAGAATCATAATAATATAAATATGTACTATGTTGCACTAATGTTAATATTCTAAAGTAACACTGTTGTTGAGTTAAACGGTCTCAAAGAAAATTCAAAGCAGCACACGAAAACATCGAAGAGATTTTACACTCAACAAAGTAAACGTAATTTCGTCAGTTTGTGAAGTGTTCAGAGGCTTATTGGCCGTTATACGGACTTAGAACGTTTGCAGACATCAGGAGTTAAGCCCATTGACTAACACCGATTTGCTAAAGAAAGCAGAGCAGTTGAGTGTAAGAGAATTGTTCCCGAACGCAGTGAGTTGCTCATGTGCATTGTTAGGGATATGGTGGCTTTATGATGTTTTTAGTTTCGTTAGTGTACGTACCTATATGTGTCTAATTGAATCAGTTTGCCGGGTCAAATTTTTGTTTTGTTTAAAGTATATTTAGAGGACTATAGATTTAAATATTACTCAATTTTAAATATAATAATAATAATGCACACAATCATAGAATCGCACTAGGGAAACTGTATCGCGGGTGACAATACATATTATGTGACTCTGTGGTCGAACGGTTGCCATGCTGGACAAATGTGGAAATGCTAGAAATATTTGTGTGGCCTACATTTATTTCTCTCATGAGTTTGGGTGTAAATTGTGATTGTCTATGTATGTGTCCGTGGTACCCGCAACAGAGGGTTTCACGGTATTTATTTGGTCTGTGGTTTCACTATTGTTTGTCAACAGAGTGTCAGTGGCAGGTTTTCATACGTTTGGTATTCCGCTAAAAGTTAAGAGTAATTAGCCACTTGTCAGTGGCTAGTCATCGAGCTGCTATTACTATTTTTTAAATAATACTAAGTGACGGGACGAACAAGTCGTGCGCCTGGTGGTAAGCGACACGCCTGTCCATAACAGTAGCAGTGACACGCAGAGCTTTAAATTACAAATCACAAAGCTTTAAATTAGGGTAGTACTGCCAAGTTACCTATTTCTGCCACCAAGCAGTAATGTCAGCGTTACTGTGTTCCGGTTTTGAAGGGTAAGGGTGATGGTGAAATTACCGCCACATGGGACTAAAGTAAATAGTCCCAAAGTATTAATATTGCTAATTAAAACCCTGTGCGTCATTTATGGCCCACACTCAGAGAATGACGTATGGATAAATTTTCTTAAAAACACATTTTCGATAACGTGATGGTAAACGAGGTTATGTATTAAGTACTAAGCGAAATGACAATAAGCAGAGTCGGTCATGGTTTCCTTGGCAACACAGTACACACGCTTTGTACTTTTTATTTGTATTTAATTTCAAACACTTATATTATTATCGTATTTATTTTAAACTCTCGCCTCTCCTAAGGCCTAAAAGATTAATTTTGAATTTTTAAATGGGAGAGGCGGTATTTCCCGGCAATGGCACAGTCGGCCGGGGTCAGGGACTCAGGTCCAAGAATCGGCGAACAATACGTGCCGTATCGAGCAGGACCGCCTTCTGCATTTGTGCTGGAAGCGACACGCCACAGAAATCCAACCGCCTCAAGCTGTTAGAAAGGCTGACTGGAATTAACCCATTTGCGG